TGAATAAAAGTAAAATTTGAAAATCTAAGGAAACATAAATAACGAAATAAGAAAGAAATATAAGTTCCAAACAATGTAGTCTACATAAAGTATTATCAATTATGACTATATATAAATATAAAACCTAAATAACATAAAAACAAAATAAATATTTCTTCAAATAAAAATAAAATATATTAGCTAATTCTATAACATCCATAATTTCTTAAAACCAAAAGATATGTTATTGCTTTTACTACAGTACAATTTACAGTTTTGCAACATAAGAAGATAATATGTAAATATTAATCATGAATAATGAAAATAGTAGTTAATAATATTATATTGCGGGTAGAATAAATGTAAGGAAATAAAAATATTAAAATTATGGCGTTTCGCCCTGATTTTACGTGTGGCTTCTAATTTACTTGAACGATGATATGTAAATATTAATCATGAATAATGAAAATAGTAGTTAATAATATTATATTGCGGGTAGAATAAATGTAAGGAAATAAAAATATTAAAATTATGGCGTTTCGCCCTGATTTTACGTGTGGCTTCTAATTTACTCGAAGGATAATATGTAAATATTAATCATGAATAATGAAAATAGTAGTCAATAATATTATATTGCGGATACAATAATTTTAAGGAAATAAAAATATTAAAATGAAATAAAAATTTTTACGTTTTACTAAAACGAATTCGCATTTATGATGTACTCATGTATGATGACTCGCATACATATTACAGACTTTTTCTCAGAAAATTTGATCTTGTATTGTGTATATTTGGATTCTTTCTCTCCTATGAAAGAGGATTATATATATACCGTTATATACATATACAGAGGATTATATATATACCGTTACAAACAGATTGATAAAATGATACAATCATGATAGAATAACAGAACCAAATATGATAATGCTGAAAAATATGTAAATCTGTAGTTGAAAGGCATAAATAGCTCGATATATATAACTTTCAAGAAACATAATGATATAGAAAATAAATATATTTCAAAATATTCGCGAAAATATTTATAACTTTGAGGAAGATAATAAGAACTAATATCTATCAATTTTATCAAATTTTCCATCAAATCTTTACATTTACATATCAAATCCACTTTCTAAAGCAGCGGTATGTAAGTAAATATTTGAAAAAAATGAATAAAAGTAAAATTTGAAAATCTAAGGAAACATAAATAACGAAATAAGAAAGAAATATAAGTTCCAAACAATGTAGTCTACATAAAGTATTATCAATTATGACTATATATAAATATAAAACCTAAATAACATAAAAACAAAATAAATATTTCTTCAAATAAAAATAAAATATATTAGCTAATTCTATAACATCCATAATTTCTTAAAACCAAAAGATATGTTATTGCTTTTACTACAGTACAATTTACAGTTTTGCAACATAAGAACTAAAAAAAAAAAATGGAAAGAAACCACTATATATTTTTCTTTAATTGAATAACATTTAAATCATATTACTATACTACTACAATACTACGTAGATATATCGTCGTAGTAACATCTGAATTCGAGGAGGATCGATAATCACACCTGTAGCAAGGTACAATGGCCTGGAAATTGTAGCAAAAGATAAAATCTACATCGGCATGAATGAAAGTGTCGATCTGCCGCGGCGTTTACGCTAACGGTGTATTTCATGCTCGCCTTGTTCGTTATTACGCTCGCCTTCAGAGTATTGGATCGCGAAAATTTTCGCTCACAAAGCGCCGTTATTACCCCGTAATTGGCTGGCGATGCCGGTTTATCGATAGAAAGCCGGGAGATCGCGTCATTGAAATGAAAGTGGCGTTCCATCGTATTAGAAGGATTAAACTCTACTGTCCGGTAGATCGCCTAAAGTACCAGCTCTCTGCGTCTTCTGATCCATTTCACTAACGATTCATCAAAGTGATTTATTCCTAATTCTGACATAGTCTTCAAACCTTTACTGCTTAATCGCGTTCTATTTTTACTTAGAAATTCTCTTATTTTTAGAGAAAACTTTAGAAAACGTTTAACTTAACGGTGAAACGAGGAAACACGCATATTAAATCGTTTATTGCTAATCTAATTTTCGTCCACTACTAATAGGTACGTATTACTTGTTACTGCCTTTCCTCGTTCTTGTTTTGCTTTCACATTTTTATGTGGTCATAAGTGTCAGTCATTTGTGAATACTTTATAAATTTCTATGTCTATGTCTGTGTCTTTTATGTATTGTTTTATATATTCATTGCTGATATATATATGTCGGGTTTACAGTAGAATTAGAGTTTGGGGCGTGAAACGAATCTTCGTTCGGATTACACGTTGTCGTTATGCAATAAAGAAGACATTTACTAGTGCAAATACGATTATTATAGAATTACTACACGATGTCGTTATGCAATAGAGAAGATATTGACTAGTGCAAATACGATTATTATAGAATTAGACAAGTAACCGTGGTAATTAGATACTCGAGAAACTAATGACAATGATCCTAGGTTCAATAACGAATCCGCGGTCAACGGGATGATAGATGAACATGCTCACAATATCTAAGTCGGACTCTTTGTTAAAACGGGGAATATTCACCGAGCGTACAGACACTAAGTAACTCTCTGATACGACCTCACGAGAAAATGACTTTCCGTCGCGATGATGCTGCGGCGGAAAACTATGATGGGGTGTGCCTAAGGATACGAGATCAC